CGTGAAAGAGTTTTCAACATTTAGAAGTTTTTTCTTTCCACGTAGACATTATAGGAGGAATCCGATGTTTCACTGTTTGAAGAATTAAATCTCGAGCAATACAACTCGTATGATATCACGAGTTAAAGGCGATAATTAGCGAGGTGCCCTTAAAGTTAGGGGGATGAAAATATCATAATTTCTATATTTTTCAATCTAATTATTAGGGTCACAACTCATAAATAATTTTTTCGTCTTGAGCTATTTCTGTTTGTTATGTTTATATTTTTTCTTATTTTATCAATTTTAAATGTGGAGTACAATTATAAACATTAAAGTTAAAGATTCGTGGGGTGTGAACCTCAACCTTAAGAGGTCAGAAGTTTTGCTTCGCAAAGGCATACGCAGAATTTTTAGTAAACGATGTTAAAAATAAAAAAAATAAAAAAAAGAATAAATTACTATAATAAAAATCGGTGTCAGTTTTAATATTATGCTCAATATTTTTATTTTATATACTATATATATATATATATATATATATATATATATATATAATTAATAAAAATTTCGATGAAGCGGTAATAAAAATTTCGACGAAGCGGTGTCACATGATACCGCTTGTCTCATAGTGTGTCCGCCCCTGTTGCTTCGTAACTTCATCTTTTATGGGTCGTTTGATAAGGTGTATTAGTAATGCTGAAACTAATAATGATAGAATTTATTATGTTAGGACTATTTCTTATCAATTGTTTGGTTTGGTATACTAAAAATAATATGCATGATATAATTTTTTTTTAAAATTATTTGTTTAAAGAAATACCTTTCATATTCTTTAATGTATTTAAAAAAGGTTTTGAAAGAGCAATTTTACCTTATACATGCTTATTCATGTATTAAAAATTATGGTATTTCTAATGCTATATTTTGCTATGTATAAGAATAGACTGCATATGATGTATAACTAATACAAATTTTAGTTATACATAGATTAAAAAATATTATCAAATAAGGGACTAATAATACCAAAACTTATATATATATACAGAGGCGAACCTACACCAGTCCTTGAGGGGTCACGTGAACCCGTTAACATTGACAAAAACCCTGTATATATATTTTATGTATAGCTGTATATACTTTGGGGACCCCTTAAATATTTTTCTTGGCCCCCTCATTAACGAAATTATGCCTGGAGCAATGGTCCGCCTCTAAGCATAAGCTCTGCTTCTTGTCATACGATGCGGGTTCGAAACCCGCCTTTTACTTCTTCTTTTTAAAAGTTTCTTTTACTTCTTATAACTGGAATTATATACTAGTACAATAGTACTATTTATTAGTCACTAGTCAACAGTTCACTAATTTATAATTTTTTATTTCACCTTTTCTCAATTCAATTATATTTTAAATTTTTAATAGTTATAGATAATAGTCAATACCCTAATCAAAAGCCCCAAATGTCAATTCCCTAAAGACTAAACCCTTCTCCAGTTCTTCACTTCTTCGGTTCTTCCTCAATCAAAAATCAAAGCTCGCCTCCCGTTAACTCATCTCTCAGGCAGTTACTTCTCACTTCAAAATGGAGAACCCTTCTTCCTCAATCTCAATTCCTCTCATTACTTTGAAAAAATAGCAGGCATCAAATCTCTGATTAGTGCTTCTCTTACTTTGAAACTTATTTTTTATTTATAAATTATAAGAGATTAAGAGCATGGAGAATTGGAGATGGATGTTAATTTACATCCAGTCCACCAACTTGACCTCTTTAAAGATATTAGAGTAAAACTGTAGAAAGCTTAAATATGGGCTCACAACAAATGACATATGCTTTTGTTTAAATCATTATCTAAATAAATACAACACTAAAATCAAGTCAATAAACAACAGCCAAGATACAGAACTACAGAAGCTATAAACTTGATCAAACACTCGAGAACACACTCACATATTCATAAAGATATATATAGTGCAGAGTTATCATGTAATGAGCAGCAATTGGTTTAAAAATTTTGGTTCAAGAATCTCCAGTAAAGGTATTCTTGGTAAATGGTAATTAGGTAAACCCCAAATCTATTATTCAAATAATTTTGTTTAGGTTGAGCTTCTATTTTCTCTGGAATTTAGTGGTCTCTTAATTTTTTGCTATTTAACTTTAAGAATGGCTTCTCTTTCTATTTTTCAGACGCTCCAAATTATTTAAGAATGGTTGTTTAAGAATGACTGTCTCCATATTTTTTAATTTATGTTTAAGTTTCTGATTCTTGATAAACAAAAAGAAGTCAATTAAGTATTTTGACACGCAATTTCAATTATACTGTGCTAGCAACCAACACTACATTTAAAGGTTAGTGAAAATATTAAGTATTAAAATATAATTAAATTATGCAACATAGCTAGAATTTACAAGTAAATGTTAGTGAAGATATCAAGTGGTACTTTTATAGAGTTGTAGTATTAGTATTCAATAAGTTGTATTTGTTTTATTCTTGATAAAAGGGGTGTATTGCTCTATTTATATTGTGTTTGTTTGTATTCTTGATAGACTCTTAAATTTATTGGATTCGTTTTTTGTAGGAAGTTCTTGTTCTTATGAATTGAGATGGACGTATTTTTGACGAAGTTTAATTCTTCTCAACTAATTTCTACTCATAGAAACAATTCCTCTTATCTTATAGAGGAGTTTAATGAGAAATTACTCAATCCCGATCCTGGAGAGAGAGTACCCATTGATAAATATAGTCCTAGAATACGGGATGAAGTAAGAAGATAATACATTCAAAATGGACCTTGTCAACCGGTTGATCATAAGTTTCCTAAGACTTTATTCGGGAATAAAATACGTCAATTTAGTCCGGGTTGGTTTAAAGATTTGTGTTCTAGATGGTTGGAGTATAGTGTGAAGAAAGATGCCGCATTTTATTTATGTTGTTATTTATTCAAAAATGATTATTTTCATGGAAGCACGGGTGACTCTTTCACAAAAACGGGCTTTAAGGCTTGGAATAAAGCTTCGGAAAGACTTGCTTTACATGTTGGTCAAGTAAATAGCCTCCACCACAAGTGTTTCAACAAGATGTTAGACTTATCACATCAATCCCAATCAATTCAAGTTGCTTTTGATAAGCAATCTGAGAAACAAAGAAATGAGCACCGAATTCGTTTAAATGCATCAATCGATGTTGCAAGGTTCCTCTTGTACTTTGGATTGTCTTTTAGAGGTCACGATAAAAGTGATTCTTCAAAAAATAAAGGCCTTTTTCTAGGGCTTTTGGAATGGCTTGCAAAGAGGCTCCCTCAAGTGGATAGAGTCATATTGAAACATGCTCCAAAAAATGATATGATGACTTCGCCAAAAATTCAAAAGGACATTGTGGGTGCTTGTGCACAAGAAACCGTGAAAGTTATAATCAATGATTTAGATGGGGATTATTTCGGGATATTAGTTGATGAGTCCAAGGATATTTCACACCATGAACAAATGGCCCTCGCTTTGCGGTATGTTGACAAAAAAGGCCAAGTGAACGAGCCATTTATTGGTCTTGTTCGTGTTGGTGATACCTCTGCAAAATCGTTGAAGGAAGCAATACTTTCTTTGCTTATGAAACACTCATTAAGTCCATCCAAAATACGCGGACAAGGGTATGATGGAGCTAGTAATATGCAAGGAAAAATGAATGGTCTTAAAGCTTTAATTTTGCAAGAAACTCCTTCGGCACATTGCATTCATTGTTTTGCTCATCAATTACAGTTGACGCTTGTAGCGGTTGCTAAAAAACATAAGGAGGTGAAAACTTTCTTTGCTATAGTTTCTAATGTCTTGAATGTGATTGGAGTATCCTTTAAACGTAGAGATAAACTTCGGGACCATCAAGCAGAATTATTAGAGCAGTTGCTAGAGAGTGGTGAAGTTCAAAGTGGGAAAGAATTAAATCAAGAACGAGGGCTTCAAAGGCCAGGTGACACTCGTTGGGGATCACATTGTAAAATATTAGATAACTTTGTTGTTTTTTTTTGCATCTATTGTTCATGTGCTTGGGGTGATTGAATATGAAGGTTCCGAGGCTAATGATAGATTGCAAGCAGAAGTCTTTTTGAGTAAAATTAATTCATTTGAATTTGTGTTCATGCTTCACTTGATGTTGAAGGTATTATTGATGTCGAACGAGCTGAGTAAAGCTTTACAGAAGAAAGAGCAAGATATTGTCAATGCCATGATATTTCTTAACCTTACAAAGGATAGGTTGCAACAAATGAGAAATGAAGGATGGAAATCATTAATGGATGAAGTCTCTTTGTTTTGTGCTAAACATGACATTTTGGTGCCCAATATGGAAGAATTCTATATTCCTGGAAAGTCAAAGCGTAGGCCTTCTAGTGTTACTTATTCACATCACTTACGTATTGAGCATTTTTACACAGTGATTGATTTGCAACTTTAGGAGCTTAACAGTCATTTTGATGTTGTTAGTGGTAACTTGCTTCTTGGTATGGCTAGCTTGAATCCAGCTAATTCGTTTGCTAATTTTGATAAGGAAAGAATAATGACATTGGCCAAGTATTATCCAGATGAGTTTGGTGAATTGAAGCTTCGAGATCTTAGTCACCAACTTGACACTTTCATATTGCACATGAAACATGGTGACCCTAGATTCTCGGATTTGAAAGGAATTGGTGATTTGGCAAAAGCGTTGGTTGAAGCAAATCTTGTGGAGGCATATTCACTTATTTATTTACTTATAAAGTTGATTCTAATTTTACCTGTCACGACTGCAACGGTAGAAAGAGCATTCTCATCCATGAAGTACATCAAAGATGAATTGCGTAGTAGTATTGGTGATGTATTTTTAAATGATTGTTTAGTTTATTTCTTTGAAAAAGAAGTATTTGCAAATGTAAGCAATGATGCTATTATTGACCGTTTTCAGAGTAT